TTTTCAATTTCTATTTGATCTATTTCCTTATAAGGAAATAAACAATAGATTAGTGGGATGAATTGTAAAGGACCTGCCTAGTATGGGCCAAAAGGCCTCCTGCAGTGTTCCTCCTTTCTTATGTTCTTTTGTTCTTATGCATGGGTATTATTCAAAGTGGGTCGGGCAAATGTTTTTGTCAGTGGGTTGGATTTGACATGAACTTATCAAATATGGACCAGTAGGCTTGTTGCAGTGTTCCTCCTTTTTTATGTTCTTTCTAAACCAATTTCCAAAACTTTTTGTTTCGAGGAAGAACCTAAGATAACCTACATTTTTAAATTCTAGGTCTTATTAAGTAGCCAGAAATACCTGGACAAGGGCTTGAACTACGATTTCATTCATCCATGGCTGGGCATAAGTCTTCTGACTTCCACTGGTAGGTACCATATTAATGACTAGTGTAAATAATCATCATGCTATTCTCTAGCAAGATAATTCAAGCTTTTGAATAATTCAGGACCAGTTATAAAAATGAATATATCTCAACTGATTTAAGGAGAGAGAGAGAGATTGAGAGAGAGATTGAGAGAGAGAGATTGAGAGAGAGAGATTGAGAGAGAGAGATTGAGAGAGAGAGAGATTGAGAGAGAGATTGAGAGAGAGAGATTGAGAGAGAGAGATTGAGAGAGAGAGATTGAGAGAGAGAGATTGAGAGAGAGAGATTGAGAGAGAGAGATTGAGAGAGAGAGATTGAGAGAGAGAGATTGAGAGAGAGAGATTGAGAGAGAGAGATTGAGAGAGAGAGATTGAGAGAGAGATTGAGAGAGATTGAGAGAGAGAGATTGAGAGAGAGAGATTGAGAGAGAGAGATTGAGAGAGAGAGATTGAGAGAGAGAGATTGAGAGAGAGAGATGAGAGAGAGAGAGATTGAGAGAGAGAGATTGAGAGAGAGAGATTGAGAGAGAGAGATTGAGAGAGAGAGATTGAGAGAGAGAGATTGAGAGAGAGAGATTGAGAGAGAGAGATGAGAGAGAGAGATTGAGAGAGAGAGATTGAGAGAGAGAGATTGAGAGAGAGAGATTGAGAGAGAGAGATTGAGAGAGAGAGATTGAGAGAGAGAGATTGAGAGAGAGAGAGATTGAGAGAGAGAGATTGAGAGAGAGAGATTGAGAGAGAGAGATTGAGAGAGAGAGATTGAGAGAGAGAGATTGAGAGAGAGAGATTGAGAGAGAGAGATTGAGAGAGAGAGATTTGAGAGAGAGAGATTGAGAGAGAGAGATTGAGAGAGAGAGATTGAGAGAGAGAGATTGAGAGAGAGAGATTGAGAGAGAGAGATTGAGAGAGAGAGATTGAGAGAGAGAGATTGAGAGAGATTGAGAGAGATTGAGAGAGATTGAGAGAGATTGAGAGAGATTGAGAGAGAGAGATTGAGAGAGAGAGATTGAGAGAGAGAGATTGAGAGAGAGAGATTGAGAGAGAGAGATTGAGAGAGAGAGAGCACTGTTATATCAACAATTCAGTTTTTGAGGCTCAATCTTTCATATCTGCTGAATAGAGTCTTCTTCACAGGCAGTCACTGGCAGACACGCAGGAAGCTACTCACTCCAGCATTCCACTTCAAGATCTTAGAAGAGTTTATCTCGGTCTTTAACAAACAAAGCAGCAAGCTGATACAAAAACTGGAGAAGAAAGCTGATGGAAATGCCTTCGACATTTATGATGACCTTGCCCTCTGTTCCCTGGACGTTATTTGTGGTAAGTTGATGATTTTGTCTTCTTAATGGACACTGTCGTGACGCACGGATATTGTGATGACGCACTTACAGATGTATAATTATACAGCTAGTAGTGGAGAAACAGGTGTAAAGTGGACATAGGAGATTCAGAAAATTATGGATATTGTTATGGCACAGCATTTCAGTTGTGGCTTGCTAGAATAAGTTGAATTTTATTTGTCATATGCTGTCTCCTGTTTGTAAACCTACATTATCTATCTATTCCTGCAAAAGAAAAGCGAAGATTCATTCCCCTCTCTACCCCCTTCACACAAATAATGATGTCTTTTGTTAGGTAACACACATATGCAACAGTTAGGTATCTTTATTATGAAACGTTTCGCCTACACAGTAGGCTTCTTCAGTCAAGTACAGAAAAGATGATAGAAGCAGAAGATACTTGAAGACGATGTAATCAGTCCATCACCCTTAAAGTTTTGAGGTGGTCAGTCCCTCAGTCTGGAGAAGAGCATTGTTCCATAGTATGAAACAATATGGAGAAGAAGTGACAGGATGGAGCTTTTTATAGCGCCAAGAGGTGAGACGTAGGCCACTAGGAGAGGTAAGAACTCAGATGTTGAGAAGTCAGGTCCCTCTCAAATCCAGCCCCTCTCACTAGTGGAAGTTGTCGAAGTTGATTGCGGTCTGTACAAGATTCCCCTTGTGTTGCAGTGTCTGACAGATTGACTTTTAAAATGGTATAAATACCGACAGGTTGTTAGGTAAGACACATATGAAAACAGTTAGGTATCTTTATTATGAAACGTTTTGCCTACACAGTAGGCGAAACGTTTCATAATAAAGATACCTAACTGTTGCATATGTGTCTTACCTAACAACCTGTCGGTATTTTATACCATTTTAATGTTCAATGATGTCTTTTATATTTTTTTAAAGTAGAAAAACAAGCATAACTTTAATGTGCTAACCTTTACTTTTTCAGAATTTTGTCAACCTCAGGCTCAGTTTTATTCTTTAAGACCAGAATACTGATACATATAAACTAAAAATTACCAATAATTTACTATAATTACTTTATTTTATTTTGTTAAAATAATGCATAGGTAAAAAAAAAACTTATGTTATATGTACGTAATCACGCTATTCCCATGAAAATTAAAATTTCTCCATAATGAACAGAGACACTCTGAAAGTTAAAGAAAAGAAAGTTCTCTTTATTCTTCCTAATTTATTGATTAGATGTTAACATTAAGCAGTGACTGAGATTATAAAACACAAGCAATCAAGATAGATGATCTCAGAGGTGAATGTCTTAGGCTCTTCAAAGATTTATGCCCAAAAAATAAGGAAAGGAAGTAATCTTATGCTTCAAGAAATGAATATTCAAATTCAAATTCAAATTCAAAAGTTTATTCTCTATAAAGATTACAATGTTGAATTTACAGAATTTGGTTGTTGTGTGGTTTACATGTAGTTAAATAATGATTACAGAGTGTACCACTAGAACGCCTAGCATGGCTAGGCATTTCGGGCAGACTTAGTTTAATTTTTTATTTTAAAAAATATTACAAATTATGAGGTAAGTTGGTATTATGGCTAAGTGACTAAATACTAGTTTGTGAGTTTAGCAATGTGAATGCTTTTGTTTTGGCACAGTACATAGTTTCAGTATTGGAGTATCATAGGATTCATTATTTTAAGATTGAGATTAATATTTCTGTTTATGGTCAAATGGGTGAGTGAGTGTAAGTGTGAACCACCAGGTGGTTTTCGTTGTAGTTATTTGGGAGGGGGTTTGTATCAGGGAGATAAGTTGTTTTCTAATGGTAGTTTTGAAGGTGATGAATGTGTCTGCAGTTCTAGAGTTCTCAGGTAGGGTGTTCCAAAATTTTAGGGCTTTTGACATACATTGAATTTTTGTAAAGGTTTAGTCGGACAGGGGGGAATGTCGTAGAGATGTTTGTGTCTGGTGTTATGCCTGTGGGTTCTGTCACAACTATCAAGAAAGCGTTTTAGGTCAAGGTTGATTTTTGGAGTTTAAGGTCCTGTTAGATGTAGATTGCACAGTAGTAATTGTGGATGTACTGAACAGGGAGTAATTTTTAGATCTATGAAGGTGGGGGGGTGTGTTGCCAGGGATGGGATTTAGTGATTATTCTTACTGCAGCTTTTTGTTGGGTTATTATTGGCTTTAGGTGTGTTGCTGCGTTGATCCCAAGCAAAAATAGAATAGGTGAGGTATGGATATATAAGTGAATGTTATAGTGTGATAAGGGCAGTTTGCGGCACGTAGTATCGTATCTTGGAGGGACCCCAACCGTTTTGGATACTTTTTTGGTTATGTGTTGGATATGGGTGCTGAAATTCAGGTTGTTGTCAAGGTATAGGCCTAGGAATTTTGCCCTCATTATTTTCTGGTAATTAGAGTGTTGTCGATCTTATGTTAATTTGTGCATCTCCTGCTCTGCTACCAAAATAATATAGTAGGTTTTGTCAGTGTTAAGCGTAAGTTTATTGGCTGTCATCCAAGTCGATATTTTGATCAGCTCCTCGTTAACAATGGTGTTGAGGGTGGCAAGTTTTAGGGTGAGAGATGACATAAGTCGTGTCGTCAGCAAAGAGAATGGGTTTCAGGTGTTGGGATACGTTTGGAAGATCATTGATGTATATGAGGAAGAGCAGGGGACCAAAGGGGGACATTTCCCCTGCAGAACTCCAGTATCAAGTGGCCGTGTTGTTGATGCGGGTGTCTTTAATGGTGACATACTGATACCTATTAGTAAGGTAAGATTTGAATAACAAGCGCATGGCCTCTTATACCATAATGGTCAAGTTTGTGGAGTAGGATGTCGTGGTCTACTGTGTCAAAAGCTTTTCTTAGGTCAATAAAAATTCCTAGTGGATATTCCTTATTTTCCAATGCTGTGTAAAGCAGATCTTAGCATTTTTATGATTGCATCATCAGTGCTTTTATTTTTCCTGAATCCAAATTGGCAGGGGTTGAGTATGTTTTGTGTTATAAATGAATATAGTCTCCTGTGCACGAGTTTCTCAAAGATTTTGGATAGCAATGGTAAGTTTGATATGGCCTATAGTTGTTTAAGTCTGTAGGGTCACCACCTTTATGTATTGTGAAACCCCTTGCCATCTTGAGTAGTTTCGGGAAAGGTGCTAGTTTCTAGGGGACTTTTTTAAAAAGTAATGAAATAGCATGCGAAAGGATAGGGGGCCGCTCACTTGTATAGTAATGGTGGGACATTAACAGATTCCCTGAGTTGTTTTTAAGGGGATTTTATAATCTCGGTGACTTCCGAGGGCTCAGTTGGTGAAGAATAAAAGGGAAATTTTGGGAAATTTCCATCTAGGTAGTCCCGGCATGGGCATTGGTATGTGGGATTTTATTGGCGAGATTAGACCCTATGGTTGAGAAGAAGTCGTTTATCTTGTTAGCTGTGTCATGGGATGTTAGTGGTGTTTCATTAGGTTTAGTTAGGACAATATTCTTGTTTTTTTTTCTGTTTGTGGGTCCCTAGAATCTGAGAGTGTTTTCCAGGTCTTTTTTATATCTCCTCTAGTGTCTGTGAATCTACTGGAGTAGTATAGTTGTTTGGCTTTCTTTATTACTTTGGTGAGAACTGATGAATAGTGTTTTTAAGAATATCTTTGTGTATTAAGCCCTGTCTATATTGCTTTTCATATTGGTGTTTCTTGTCAATGGATTTCAGAATGGTACTGGTTAAGAAAAATGTCTGTCCAGTCATCAATACCATTGGCCTTGGAGAATTCTGTAGGCAGTCAACAATCTCTAGGTCAGCTGTGAACTTCCTTATTGAGGCCTCGTCATGGAGTCTAAATGAGACTTTGTTGAATTCAAGTGGTGGTTTACTAATGTTTGTCAGGAGGAAGGTAGGGTAGTGGTCTGTAGTGCTATCTGTGATTATCCCTGATTTAAGGGGGACTAGTATATTGGTCCATATGTGGTCTATTATGGTTGCACTTGTCTCAGTGAGCCTGGTTGGTTTAGTTATTGTTGGTATGAGAAGTGTGTTGTTCATATTGTTGATGAAATCAGTTACAGGCTGATCATCTAGTAAGCCAAGGTTGATGTTGAAGTCTCCAGCTAAGAGAAGGTGGTGCTTATTCATTTGTCTGTTTGTTATTAGTGACTTTTAATTTTTTCACTGAAATTTGGGATGTTTGTGTGAGGTATTCCCGGGAATGGCACCGATTGTTATAGGTGTCTAAGGTTTTTTACAGTAAAATTAGCAAAAATGTATTCCCCATATTCATTTACTAAAGCAAGTGGTGCTAATTTCAAGATAATTGGTTAGAGTAAAAGATTGCAATACCACCCCCAACTTGGTTTGGTCTGCAGTTGTGAATTGCTGTGGGATCCTGGTTTGAGGGTAGATATCTATTGTGTCCTGCTTAAGCCAGGTCTCGTAAGAATAATGCAGGAGAGGGTGTCTTAGTGATTCAAGGAGGTGCCCGTAGGTCATCAAAAGTGTTTGCTTAAGGCCTATGTTGTAGTTAAGTACTGATTTGACTTTTTGCATTGTTTAGGATAGTGCTGCTTGTGTTGCTGTGTAAAAAAAGGCAGTTACTTTCCAATAGGCTTTGATTGGGTGTCAGATTATGGAGGTTTAGATCAGGGTCAACGTAAACAATCATCTTCTAGGTTTAAATTATGGTTATTTATGTCCTGAGTTGTGTGTTGGGTTCTAGTGCTGATATCTGTAGTGGTGGGAAGTTTGGATAAGTATATAGCTAGAGTATTTTGGTCATATAGAGTATAGTCGCTACTACACAATTTAAGTTGAGTTTTTCTAGTGTTGTGCTGGAATGAACTAAAGTACAACTAGATATAAAAATAGTAATATAAAAATACAAATTTAAAATAGAACAAGCTCTCACTTTTAATTGCACTAAGGTCTAATTAATGACTTTTGTGGAGTCTGTTTTGAGCTAGAAAAGAGCTATAGTTTCAACTAGATTTTAATCTAATAAATAAAAATACAAAAATTTAAAAAAAAGCACCCGTCTCTCACTAGTAATTGCCCTATGGTCCTAATATAATGAATTTGGTATTGACTATAGTACAAACTGTTTTTTAATCTAATAATATGAAAAAGGCACAAGGGCTCTCAATTGTAATTGCACTAAGGTCTTGTATAAGTTGATTACCAAGAATAGAGTATAAAATTGATTTAAATTGACAGGATAAAAATACACAAGTTAAGGTAGATAAAAGAATAATAATAAAAAAAATGATAAAAATAAAAATGGCAATGACTTGGTTATAATATGCTAGTAAGATGGTAGACAGGATAATATGAAAGTTGGGAGTTTAAAATACTAGTTAAAAAAGTATAGAATAAGAAAGGTCAATAAAAGAAGTTTACAATAAGTTTGATCAATATAGTTTAAAGCAAATTGGGAATAATAGGGATTTTAGAATAAAATTGGGCAATTGAGTATTTCTTAAAGTGAGGTGAATTAATGAGGGGAAAAATTTTGGCTAGTTTATAATAAAATAAGATGGAAAAAAGTGATGCGGTAAGTTGTAAAAAAAAGGGGTGTTCTGTTGTATATTTACAATTAAGACTGAGGGAGAATGGTCGTTGAATACATCAATGACAATCAAAAGTAGTTGGGGTATTAGAATTTTAGGGGGACACAAATTTATGACAATATAACACTAACTGTGGACTGTGGGTATTATCTGCACTTTACCCCTGATTCTGTTAGTCCAGCCTCACTTAGGAATGTTTTAAGGTCATGTTCTGTAGAGATGAAGTATCTCTTCCGTGAGCTGTTTCCTAACTGCGATTTTTCCATCCCTCACAAAGCACTGGTGGATTTTTTGGGCATAGCGTAATTTTCTTAGCCGATAAAGAAGGTTTTGTCTTGTTTTGGTAAGGCAATCATTGACGTAAACATCAGTTTTCATAGAAATAGATGTTTTTAGTAGGTTGTTTCTTTGTAGGCTAGTTTGGAATTTTAACAGCACTGTTTTTTTACCTGCTTGGTAGCCCATCAGTTTGCAATCCTTTAGGTCATCACTACATATGTTAAGGCGAAGGTGGTCCTTGATGAGCTGTAGGGTGGTCTCCATGCAGGTCTCTTGGGTGACTGTGGCTGGGAGATGTTTGCTGTTAACTACAACAGCATCAGATAGCTGTTGTTGGTCATTATGGTCTTGGAAGTTGGTTATGACATTGGCAAGTCGTTTGTCCACTCTTGATCTTTCCTCTGTAATGTTGGTAGTAAGTAGGGTGACTTGGTCTTTTAGAGTGTTGATAGTGTCTAGGGACTGGGTGTGGGTTGTTTCTTTGTTGTTCCAGAGTGTCTAATTTATGTTCTAGAGCAGTGATTTTTGTTGAGATAATTGCATTGCTAGCTTTTAGTTCCTGCATTTTTTTGAGTTAGTTTGGTGATTTGTTTGGTTCTGAATTTGTAAGGAAATTTAGCTATTTCTGGGTCGGTGATCTTCTTGACATCAAATACTGGGAAGGAGTTATCTTGGACTGTGGCAGTAGCCATGTTTGTTGTTGTCTGTCGTGTGTTGTGGTGGTGCCGGGTGGGTGATGGGGGGTTGTGTCCTGGCTGGCAGTACCACAAGTTTTCCTCGTGTTTTTACTGCTCTCACCTTTGATGTTAGGAGTCCTTAGCTGGTTACTGGATCTTCTTTTATTGTTCTGACCCTTGTCCATTGGTTGTGGCTTCGGGTGAATAATAGGCGATGGGTGAATGTTGTTGAGTATCACTTCAGTGGCAGCGGGGTAGGAGGTGGTAGTACGAGTCCTATTAGTTGGTAATTTGTGAACTTTTGGGTGGTTTCTGCAGTTGATTTATATCATTCTGGGTATCCACACATGTTAGTGTTATGTGGGTCTTGATTAGGTCATCACTGGGCTGCTGGGAACCTCAGGTAGAAGTAAAAATAGAGGACAAGGTTCCTGTTGCCGCTGCCGCTGCTGGTAAGGAGGGAGGCCGAGCGACAACATGAAAATGACATAGGAGCGAAAGCCAAGTCTGACCCAAAGCTTTTGTACAGCCACATCAGGAGAAAAACAATAGTAAAGGACCAGGTAATCAGGCTGAAGAACGAAGGTGGGGAGCTCACAAGAAATGACCGAGAATTATGTGACGAGCTCAACATGAGATTTAAAGAAGTTTTCACACTGGACCCAGAAAGAACTCCAGAAACACCTAGTGGTAGGGCATTCCATAAAGTGCTGGACACAATACACACAGCAGAGGTCAAGGTGAAGAGGCTGCTAAGCGAACTAAATACCTCAAAGGCGATGGGGCCAAATAACATCTCTCCACGGGTCGTCCTGAGAGAGGGAGCAGAGGCGCTCTGTGTACAACTAACAACAATCTTCAACACATCTATCAAAACAGGGCGACTGCCCGAGGTATGGAAGACAGCAAATGTATGTCCCAGTTTTTTAAAAAAAAGACACATGCAGCATTAACTACAGATCAGTGTCACTGACATGTATAGTATGCAAAGTAATGGAGAAGATTATCAGGAGAGTGGTGGAGCACCTAGAAAGGAATAAGCTTTGACAATCAGCACGGATTCAAGGACAGGAACTGCTGTGTCACAAACCTCCTCGAGTTCTATGACAAGGTGACATCAGTAAGAAAAAAAGAGGGGTGGGTAGGCTGCATTTTCTTGGACTGTGAAAAAGGCTTTTGACACAGTTTACTCACAAGATATTAGTGTAGAATCTGAAGGACCAGGCAGGTATAACAAGGAAAGCACTGCAGAGGATCAAAGAATACCTGACAGTATGAGGGAAAAGTTCAGCAGATAGGAGTTGCGAGCGAGTATATGGTGATTAGTTTGATGGCAGTCTGCTTGTTAAGGTAGGGTCAGTATCTAGGTCCCGATATCCCCCCTCCCCTTTTCTCCACCCGGAAAAGTGGCGTGTGGGGCTCCGACCAAATGGATAATCACTTGAATCACAGCTCCCAGCACAACTGTAAGTAAAAGCCTCTACTCCTGTTCTAGTTAATATGTTGGTTAAACGCTTCACTTTTAACCAGTTCTAAAACTTAGTTCATTCTGCCTTGATTTCCATGATGAGTTTTTGCATCAAACCCAAAATTTTTTTAAACCCCCTTGCACTTATGATGGAGAGTGATTTTTCAAGCAGTGGGTAACCTTTGTCTCTTTCTATGTTGGAATGACAGCTCGGGTCATCTGGCAACCAAAGAAAACGTGTTGAAGGAGTCAGACTTTACACAAGTCATGTGACGTCACTTTTTGATCTACCTAATAGGTTTGAAAATACCGCTACCCTCTGTGAATGGCCTGTTGACACCTGGGCTACCAGGTTAGGTATGTTATTTTCCAGTACAGCTTTGAATATTTATGCAACTTTGTCGCAGGATATATGTAATTATTGCCTACTTAAGAAGGCAATCCTTAAAGCATACCAAAAGACCACAAATTCTTATAGGAAAGATTTCAGGTATGCCACCTTACAGCATGGCCAGAACTTTCAGCAGTTACAGGTAACACTCTTTCGTTTGTTCGACTTTTGGATAGAGAGTTCAGGAATTGATCACAGTTTTGAATCTCTTAGAGACTTCATGGTTGCTGACCAGTTCCTGACAGCTCTTCCTCACCAGATACGAACATTCATTAGAGAACGTAAACTGATTAAAGCTGAGGAAGTTGCTGAGGCCGCTGACTTGTATGCTGAGGCTCACAATTCCTAAAGACCTAAAGGGATCGATCCCTAAGGGCAATGGTTCACCTGAACCAAAGGATAAGAAGCCTACAGTAGAGAAAAGTCACCAGCTATTATACCAAACTTGTAATCGGGGTGTGGTGGGATCGGACATAAACGTCCAGGTTGTCCTTCCAAGAAAATAGAGAAAGTTGGCAGATATTTTTGTTGACGGTAATAACCAAGCACCCTTGTGTTCAGGAACAGTTAATGGTATAAAAGTCTCAGACATTACGTGACGCTGGATGTACGTGCATCGTAATTTCAGACAAACTGTTCCACTAACTTT